ATGAACCACTTCCGCGGGCCGTATGTTTCGCACGGCTTATGATACATTTCGTATCGTAGATTCTTTACAAGATCTGCGGTTTGTGATACATTTCGCACGGAATGGGAGAGAGATACATTCGGATGACCTTTACGCGAAGATAACGGAGGCGCGAAGCCCTTATCGGCCGTGAAAGTGTCCCGTTTATAATGTACCATTTAAGGAGAAGTACTCACACTCACCCACGACTTACCTTGGAGCTACTCGAGTGGTTCTGCTTTATCTTTATGATCGCCCGGCATTTCATATTCAGGAAAGCTGTTCTCGTCATTCGATTTAGTATGCAATTCATGGAAATGAGGAACCTCGACAAGGTTACGAAATGATGAGTTCATCGGGTCTGCCGCTTCTCGGACCGTTCACTCCTTCGATCGCGTGTAAACAGTCGGGTCCATCAGATCGTGCCACATCATGGCTTATAGTAATGCGTTTAGAAAGCTCGAAAGCTTTTTCTGTCCTACCACGGCGAACACCCGCGGACCAGCAGTGGAGAAGGGAAGGGCGTGTGATCCCTCGCGTGAAAGTTTTTCCACCATTGCCTCTTCGCCGATGGGGTTGCGTAATGTCAGTAGCCAACGGCATAGGCACGGGCAAGGTCGTTTGTCTGGTGAGGGACCAGCGGGGACCAGCGGGGTCCGAGAATCCGTCCCCTCCGCACCCCTGCTTCGCCTGACGTCAGAAATCAAATGACGGATTTTCCCCTTCGGCTGCTGGGAGATGATCCTAGCCGTCATTTGCCTCCGTGACTTCGCGGACTGGTTCGTGCGTGCGGTCGACCGAACGAGTGGCGTGAGTGTGTGACCGAGTGACGTTGCGGATGCATCCACGCAACTCTTATTTATCTATCTCGGTCTGTCTCAGCAGAAATGAGTCGTCGGGAGATGTGCCGCTGCTTGTTTTCGACTCGTAATTATTTTTGTTTTTGTTTGAATATTCACGTGCGTATGATCCCACCGTATCGAAATATCAAGCATACCGTGACTATTAATTTCGCAATTTGCCTATGGAATTTGCGTTTCTATTAACATTCTCGGATAATCGACGAAGAAAGGGAGGAACGAGAGCACCGTTATCCGCGTGCCTACGGGACCGGTTCCTGAATTCATTAGCCTCACTCCCCTCGTGGAATCCAGTGTATCTGTCGTAGGGCAGGGCCTTCGGTCTTGCCTCTGCACCTCGATAAAAGTAACCACGTGCACTCCAAGACTGCAAGGTCTGCCGAGTACGAAGCGCCCTCCAAAAACGACACAAAAGAAAAGAGAGAGGGGAAGGCGCCAAAATGTCTCACTTTCGAAATCCCATCCTTTTCGTCTCATTTCTCTTTTGCTCCCGAGTCCCTCGAAGGATACATGATGGGAGAGTGCGTGAGGGTGCGCAGTGGCGTGCTTAGGGGGAAAGGGATTCCACCTTGGGTCACGTGAATGAGAGATCTGTAAGCGACGACCGTCTCGTAAATGAAGCGTGTTCTGTGTCGTCTGGGGTTGCGAACTCCCGGTGGAGAATCCGTCCGTAAATCTGGGCTTCTTTTTTTTTTAAATACAAAAGTAACTTCCATGATCTCAGTTGCCACACATAGCCTCTCGGCGTAATTAGAAGAGTTCCATATGAAAAACTAGTTTGTTTCGTCGAAAGAGCCCCTCCCACGCTAAGGAACCAATGTCGGCCGGCGCTGCCATTGCGATAGCGATCCGTGCGGCGTTATTTCTTTCTCTCTTTCTCTTGTGCCTTGCCAGTGCAACGAAGCCTTGGACGGTCCTCCCTCCTCGTGAGTGTTTCGATCGACTCCGCCTCTGTGATTACGATCCATCTTGTTCTTTCTCTCATGCATTCATACAAGCCACGGAATGAGAGTCTCGACAACGCCTGGCCTTCGCCCTCCCTCCTCGTCTCTTCTTGGAATTTGGCTATCGACCCTCTTCCCGGCGTCCAACTCGTCCCCATGGGCTGGCTCCGCCGGTGATTACGGATCCGCATCGAGTCTTCATTCGACTCGAGTCTCTCTAAACACGGTCTGCTCATGTCTCCTTCCCTTGGCTCTCGGCGGAATGGGATGTCCGGTCTCTCTCGCCCCACTCCCGGATCGGTCTGGCGCCGCCGCTGTAATCGCGAACCGTACATGGGTCTTTCTCTCGTGTGCCGTCAGAGTTCTCGCCAGTCCGGCCTTGCCCGTCCTCCGTGCCCCACCCTTTCCTTATACACTTCTCGCGTCTCATCCCTGTGGTTTTTTGTGTCTCCGTAAGTTATCCTTGGCTTTCTCACTTCTACCGTATCCCTCCACTACATGTGTCTGTGCTCGTTTCGAAGTCCGTGGATCCCGTTGGCGAGGTCATACGTAAGACTATCAAAGATTGCCTTTCTTTGTTATTAGGCCTCCACGGAAAGTTTGTGAAATTAGGCTTTAAATACAGTTAGTCTCGGCTCGTGCCTGGCATGCTGTAGTGGACACAGCTGTTGCACTGTTTTAAAGCTGCTTAAATGGAAGTAAGGCTCTATTAGTTCCCACAACGGGTATAGGAATAGCTACTTGAAATCAAGCGACTGTCACTCCGTGTAACAATAATCACTCATCCTCCGCTGGTGAAACCTGTGGCATGAAGAGGCCCCAGGTGTCGTTTTCACTTTTGCGGAATCCCCCAGCCGCAAGCCCAAGCCCAAGCCCATATGGTTGACAGGAGACATGGTGTTATGTAATTCCTGAATGTTATTCGTGGTAGAGAGAGAGGAGACACTATGTATGAATGTGGCACCATTGTGTGCCTTTCGGAGTCCCAACAGTATGCCTATCCGTGATAGTGTGGAAACCCAGAGAATCCATTATACAGTCGACTCCGCATAATGGATACCGTTTAATGGAACACTCTGCTTAATGGAATGCCATTGCACAGTCCTGATTTACGATACGATACAACAGATAGTTTCGGTAATTGGAATACTCCATATTAAAAAATAAACTTCACTGGTCCCGACAGTACTCCAGTATGCGGAATCGAATGTGGTTCTTTGAAGGTATAATTGTTCGCGATATTGAAAATTTGCGTTCAAATACGACTTAAAACTTCCTAAGCAGATGTCTGGTCTTCTCTTTTTTTTTTTCCTATCTTCATTTTTCTTAGCTTTTTCGTATCTTCATTTTTCCAAGAAGACTCGCTCTAATGCCGCCTGTCGCTCTCCGAAACCAGAGGACCTCATTCCCAGCAGAGCATTTGTCTCCTGAAATGATCAGAATATCGCCGGGAAGGAAGAGGTCAAACTGCAAGGGTAGCTTAGTGCCCGTAAACGTTCCCGATGGAAGGATAAAGGCGGATGAAATGAGGGGAGACGAAACCGCTAGCCCTAGACCCTGGTTCACTCCGTCCCGTTATCATTCTCTTACTCCCCTCGGAACCTCCTTCCCCTCTCCCTAAACGACTGCCTCATTCCCAGCACTCTCCTTGGAGATTGCCTCTTCTTCCTGAATCTTTTCTCGCAGCGTCTTCTGCTGGTCCTTTTTTTCTTGTCTCTTTTTCGCATTCCCCTCCATCCGCGATTGAAAGTCGGCATACCCAGCAAACCAGGAAGTGATAAGTCGAGGGGATTTTTTTTTCCCTCTGCAGCTCTCGTAATCCATGGTGTACTCCAGGTCATCTAAGGTATGATGATCGACATCCCTCCTCGTCGGGAATGAGGAGGAAATGACGACGCACCTTCCTTGTCCCCTCTTCACGGGGGACGGATTTGGTGGTGTTTTGTTCATCTTTCTCTGTGCTAACTTAACCGGAACTTTCATTATCTGAAGTTTTTTTTTCCGGTTTCTCCTGAAAGAGAAGCACATCTTGCTGGGTATCCCTTTGCCCAGGACTTCAGTTCTCGTAGAAATAAAGCCTACATCCTTCTATCCTATAATCGGTGGTATGACTGTGTGATATCTGCAAGTGTCGTGTATACTACTGTGGGGTAAGTTTTGTCTAATGGTTTACTTTGATATAGCATTGTATTGTGAAGTACATGACTAATAAGATTATTAAGCGTGAAAAATTGTAATGGTGGTCATATGTCTTTGTCACCTTTTTACGATGTATTTTTACGTTCACTGGCTACCTTATTGAAGTATATGTTTTATATAACTGTAAAAACCTTGAGAATTCTGTGGTGAGTCTACCCAATTTAATGGGAACTCTCTCGCAGCCGTAGGGTTGTATAGAGTTTTATGGAATCGTATAAAGTTCTGTTTTGTTCATTCGCAAAATGTATTCCTTCATCAAAAGGATCATGCAAGTCATGTAAACATTGAAATTGAGAAGAGGAAAGGGAACTTGAAATTAACACCGTAGGGAATCTGTTATTTTCAGAGGGGAGAAGGTGTGTTAGATAGATAAATGAGTTGAACTTCTGTCGAGCAGATTCCGATATGGTCGCTCAACAGCAAGAACTGGCTCATTGATGAAGACCTGGTAGATTTATTGCCAGGCTTATCACTCCACGATGCAACCGTAGTAGCATTGGAGACTGCGTTTTCGACCGATGTAGGTCAGGGAGACTGTCCATCTCTAGCAAGGATTTCCTCATCCGTGTAAGCCGGTGTGCCTTAGGCACACAAATTTACATGGAAGGAAGGCTGAAAGGCATACCGGAGCACTTGACCATTTTTATTCTCCGCATTGGCTAAGTGTCCAGGTAACCTTCCAGACTTCGAGGATGAACTTTTCGTTTTCCCGCCCGTCACAGAGAGGAATAGCCGATTGCCACCCTCCTTGACATGTTACATCTCATCGTTGCTTTAATGCAGCATTCAGTGATGTGTTATGTACTTAAATATTAAATAGCATGGTTATTTGCAAAAAAATCATGAAAGGAAATTATTATTATTTTATTTATTTATTATAACATTAAATTCTATTTCAATATAATTTATGGATAACTTTCAATTATTTTACTGTTCAAAATAGCTCTTATTACTTACACTTAAATTAGAGTGTATAACCTTACGCCCTTCCTGATAGGAGCCGAGGAGATGATACTCGGATGACAGACTTTCCATCCCATCCAATCCCCTTATATGACTCGATGGAGGTGTGATATTGAGTCTGTGATAGAAGTGTAATGGTGGTGTAAAGTCTTGGGTGATGTGCATTTGTATGCGTGGTAATTGTGATTCTTGCGACGGTGCTGAATGGGCGGAGGGGAAGACGAAACCAAGAGACTCGAAGAAGCCCGTGTCTGCGCGGCGGCGGAGTGTGACGACGAGGAAGTCGAAGATGCCCTTACCGTGACCCTGGACCTGAAGTGCGAGGAGATCCTCATGCCTCCTCCTCCTCGTACCTCCAAACGTTTTCCCCTAGGTCCCCTCCTCTTTTCCACCCTACTCCTTCTTCTACACCTGTCCCCTGTATATTCCTCTCCTTCTACCATCTACCATAATGAGTTTGCTGTCCACATCCCCGCTGGGTCGGATGTCGCCGACAGGATCGCCGAGAAGCACGGCTTTGTCAATCATGGCCAGGTAAGCCGCTTTAATTCCTATCATTATAGGGTACCGGAAAGAGCAGTAGCAGGCACGCCTTTTCCAGTCTGGTGGGATTAAAAGTAGTCTGTGCCACAGAAGCATAATTTTCTCCCATTCTTCTCGATTGGTAACAATGAAATTGTGCAATTAAACCGGTTGGATCCTTTTTTTCTGTGGGATGCCTATTATTATTTTCGACTAGGGGGAGTTTTTTTTTATTGTTTATATGGGCCAATGGATATTGTGAAATTGTCGACGACTCTGATACATCTACGAAGGAACATGGAAATAAGGCACACCTCCGAAATACTGTCCTTCAAGATAACTGTATCTAGAAATGTCACTGCCCTCGCTCGTTAGAGAAGCCACTTTCTCCCTGGATTGAAGGTTGCCGTCTCATCTGATCCTTTGCAGCTTCGATTCGCTTCTTTGCTTCTAAAGGAAACATGCTTTCTTCTTTATTTTCTTGTGGCACGATGTCCTCGTGGCGTTCTGGAGAGCTTTCATAAGAATTCACGGACAGGGGCATAGGGGGAGCGGCACCAGTTAGCGAACGAGGCTCATGAGATGCGATTTGGCCTTTTGTTTCTCGAGTTACACGCTCCAGCTTGTGGTATCTGCAGAAAATGAATTGATTTATTAATGCTAGGGATGGAGTGTGAAACTAGAATAACAAAAGGCCAAATCTCATTTTATGACCCTCGTTCGCTAACTGGTGCTGCTAACTGCAAAGCTTTCCTCGATTCCTGCTCATGAAAGCTTAAAAGGACAGGATTATTATAATCTCTGTCTTTGCATGGGAGGAGAGGGAATGAAAGGATCTCGCTGTCGTCCCTGAGAGGAACATCGGAGATCCTCTCCGTATTTTCCTCTAAAGAAAAAAAAGAAGAAAATATTTATCAGGACTTATGTGTAATTTACATCGGATATGGCTCTAGAATCAGAGTAGTGAATGCATGAAACTTCTCCGAAATAATTAATAATTCATGGTCTTGGTTTATTCAGCCTGCCTTTTATTGATGCATACGACTTCGGGATAAGCTAAGATACTTCAAGCTGTACTCAGGACAGTGCAAAGAGTCATTTCAATCAGAAGCTGAAAAAGCATGACAAGACAATATAGCTTATGAATTTTACCTCAGGACAGTTTGGAAAAGAAATTTAATTTTTATTAAATCTTTTTTCTTCTTTTTTTCCCTTCATGTTCAGGGTGTCACAGTTGTGCATTATCGGTACTGACAATATTTTAAATGGTAATATGGTGTCGGTATATATGACCTTGGGCATCCTTATATGCCGGCATTGGAGATGAGACTATGAATCGTTTATGCTGAGTTTTGGGTAAGATCTGTCTCCGTGAGGCGTTGCAGACAAAATTATAACTTCGATGCGACTCTGAAATAATATACCTTATTTAAGGATTTTGAAACATTTGCTGCAGATACAATCATTCAACTCCTCTGAGGTCCCCCTATTACTATCGGATCATTTGAGACCGTGTTATGAGAATAGTACATTTTTGGCCAATTTTCAATAATTTTGAATCGTGAGTTTTTGCGTAATCAGGAAGCAGTTTGCGTTAGACCTTTAGTTTTATTCGAGTTGAACCTCGTTGAGATATCGTAATATTGTCGGATCAGCAGTTGGATACCTAATGGTGACTCTCCTACAGTAGAGGAGAGGCTGGACGTCCCTGTCTGTGGTCACTGGGTATCTACTCCCCAAAATCCAGTTTCATCGCTGGGTTTCCCATCATGCAGTGATGCTTGGTTGAGTCCAGTAGGAAGGAGAATAGATGTTCTCTGTGGTCGCTCTGTGCATCCAATTCGTATGGTCTGGGATCATCTGGAGTGCGTTGTTCCCATAAGGGCAGGGCCTCTATCATCAGGAAAGCTTCTCGACACCTTGCAACCGCAGAACGACTCACAAACTGTCTTCCCAATTAATCTTTTTTTTTGAGCTTCCAGAATGAACTTGGTAGTTTTCATAAGGTTTCGAAATGCGATTAAAAGTTCAGAGAACCTTCGTGCAGCGCTCACTGGTCAGTTGATAGAACAGTTAAAACTAGGAGGATAGTGAGGATCTCGAGAGTCAGGCAGCCGTTGGCGTCGGCGCATAGTGCCACCGTTGTTACATCGTACGCTGTCGGTACACCGCCCTCGTTCTAATATTTCGTTGGCTAGAATATCAGCTCATACGGTCGGAACGGTCGGCTTATTTTTCTACCAAATCTGCCTTCTGGGAACTCGGAACGGTTATAAATGCATTCGAAAGGCTTATGTATGCACCCACAAGTCACTTTCACAGCAACGGCAGTGGCCCAGATTCCACATCTCGGTCCTTCCAGGCGAGATGCCTTCTTATTACTCAAGCAATAAAAAGTGGTGACCGTTCTTGAATTTTGGTGTCTTGCGGTGGTTTTGGTGTCCCAACTTTGTGGCGCTGTCGCGCAGCAAAGGAACAACCAATTTTCATTCTTCGACCGCAAATGATATACTGGGACGCCAAAGCGTCTGTCGATGGTTTATGTTTATTATTAGTTGACCGAATTTCATGTGCATTCAGAAGAGGAAGAGTAGCTTCTTTTTCTAGATTTACTTCCGGTTAACGCAGATGAACTCGTTCGTCCAGCCTCAGGGGTTTTACCCCTGGAAGAATACCCTCATGCTGGTGGAAACATCATTGCGTCAGGAATCGGTTCATTGGAAGGCCTCCTTTTCGTCATCCCTTACCAACAGAGTTGAAAAGACAAGGAGAGCAAGGGAGGGACCGAACTCTTGAGGGGTGGCGGGGGGGGGGGGGGGGGGGGGGGGGGGGGGGGGGGGAAACGAAATCCAGAGCGTAATTATTACTGGCCACGGTCATGCCTACCCAAACCAGGAGGTGTGATCAGATCCCGGTCAGCCTCCCCTGCGTTGTTCACCCATGTGCAATGAAACAAGGCTGTGATTTTGATGGAGACGTTGCCCCATACTCCCTATTGGACTGGCTATTTTTGCTGCCTGGGTGATTTTCTGTGCTTCATTCCATCAAAGAAGTGTTCCGGGTCAGATGTAGGAGCCGTACTAGTGCAAGAGTTCGGTCCCTCCCTTGCTCTCCTTGTCTTTTCAACTCTGTTGGTAAGGGATGACGAAAAGGAGGCCTTCCAATGAACCGATTCCTGACGCAATGATGTTTCCACCAGCAGAAGATAAGGGATGGAAGGAATAATAGAGGGGAGAGGGAGATTGATGGCACCGAAGGGATGACCTCTGACGAGTATCAGTCGAACATTTTCACGAGGTTTATGTTAGTAAAACTAACCTTACTATACCGTTGCTGGATGAGTCAGTTGGGTTTGAAAGTGATCGCTTTCTTCGGCCGTTACCCTACAGAGAAGCGCTAAGAAAAGAAAGTGGTCATTGGAATCGAATCCAAAACCTCGAAAGATTACAACCCCATGGATTTTATTTATTTATTCTTCAGGATAGGGTGATCTGGATAATACAGATAAACACGATGCAACAGGTCCCAGTAGCGCATTAGGCAAACCGGCATTTAACCCAGAGAAAGTCCCCCAGATCATGCCAAGTAAATGGGAAACGAGTCTCTCCCCTGCCGCCCCTTGTAGAAATTACTGTGAAACCTTTTTTCGGGTGAGTTTTGTTATCGCGATATACGCGATTCAAAATGAACGCGAATAGAGTCCTAATAAAGTGCTCAGTGAAAAAGCGAATGTCATGGCTGCCTCTCATGTATGCATGCATGGTTTAACACTAGCGCTTCTTTACGCTCGCCAGCTCATGAATGCCATCTCTTAACTTGCTCAAGAGCATGAGCTAATTAAATGTAATCTTCAAAATGCCGGACATATGCAGACCTTAAAGTCTGATCGGATCGTACAATAGTAAAATTGATGCTTTGCTGTAGAATTTTCAATTCAAAGAAAGTTTTGTTCTTCCTTCAGCAGCATAGTGCCAACAGAAGGGGAGCAGGAAAATTGTAAAAAAAAATAAATAAATAACTTGAATGCGAATTTATGTTTCATGATACAGTTGACTTTCCAAAACCCTTGACATTTTCGCGAAAACGGGGTTTACAGCAGTAGTCGCCGCTTTCACTGCCAAGGAACGAGTGAGTACCTTGACATTGCACCCTTGGGCATTGCAGATGTGCCGATGTGACTCTCAATTATTATAGGCGCTTCCTATGAGCACCTTGGCATTGTTGTTGTGCTGATGAGACTCGCTATCATCATCGTCTGGTTTGTGGTGGGTGGAGCCATCATGAACGGGTTAGAAAGGGAAAGTGAGTACAATGGAATGAGGCTGGTTCACTTGAGCCTGTTGTCTCGTCTGTCCAGAACAATTCCCGACTTGTAACCCCATCACGACTTATTCTGTCCCTTATTCACGATTGCCTCCATAATGAAAGTGTAAGGAACTGGTTTTTTCTATTTGTCTCTCTCTCTCTCTCTCTCTTTCCCTCTCTCTCGCTCTCTCTCTCCCTCCTTCTTCTCCCTCTCTCTCACCTTGACATCATTACGTCCAAATGGGCTAATTTTATTCCGGAGTGGTCAAATTAACTCCCGTCATCCCTTGCGTCATCGCCTAAGACTTCCCTTCCCTCTTCATTCCATGAACGTTCCTAGACCTAGGATTTCGATGTTTGGAGGACATGATGCACGCAGGACGTGACGTAGGCGGAAAATCCTGGTACTTCCTTTCATCTCTCTTACGATAAGAGGAAGTAATTGGATTTTCCGCCTGCATATTTTGTTTGTAGCTCCTCTATTGTCAAGGACCGAAGCTGCCTTCATGGAAGTTTCTTTCATCCGTGACCTTGGACCAAGTACACCCTGTTGTACGCTTTGTGAAGGAAGGAAAAAAACCCCCCACCCAATTCTGCCTGTCACTTCTCGCATAATCGAGTTCCGCTTCCTCTACTCATGATTGAGTCATGGCTCATGGGGGCTTGAACTAGGAAGACGAAGGAAGCATGAAAAATGGCCTACTTCCTTCTGTTTCCTTCCCCGCTTTTCCGTGCTGGGTCAATATTTCTCGCAACCCAAATCGGGTGGCGCAAAAAATGCGCGTCATGTTAGCCACCTTATGAAATTGCTTAGAAATTCTAGGTTCGTGATTCTTTTTAACACATTGGAATCACGAAAAAAATTTATTTCCTGAACGTTTCAAATGTGTAGGTGGTCTCGAAAAAAAAATTTCATTAAAAATGCAGTCATAAAATGTAACTATTTTTGCGCTCAAGGTGGATGCAGTCTCAGCATCGCTCAACAGATTTCTCTCCTTTAACGCCATTAAGGCCTTTTTAATTATTATATTTTGTTGTGTTCTGACCATAGTACTATTGGTTGTGTTGTGGTATTAGGCCTCAGGTGAGAAGGTAAGGCCAGACTTTGATAATGTATGTAGAGTATTAGGGCTGGAGAAAGGAAGAGGTTAGTGCTTCCTATCAAATCGTGGACTCAGTTCTGTAGAGTCTCTTCTTTCTCCAGCCTTTCTTTTTAAGAACACCCCTCTTACACTATGACTTTTCCTTTGAACGATACTATATGATGACACTGCACAGTCCAGGGCATTGCAATAGGAATGCAGCTGTTATCACAACTGCTGCCTCCCGATTCGTGGATAGCGGAATTTTCTCAGCGAAGTTTCAACGACTCTCTACCCAACAACTTAGGGACAACTCTCATTAAACAAATTTTAGAGTATATTCTGTGTAATACAGAATAATAGGCAAATGTAACTTCTACAGTAGGTTTTCTAAAGCCTCAAACAGGACGCAGTTTTTTTGCGCCACTCAACATAAAGTAGCATTCGAGTAGATGGAAGAGAGTTATATGCATCCACCTCAAGACGGCTGAAACCTTAGATGCAAATCTTTATCATACAAAATAGAGAGAATCGTGTGTGCGCACACCCCCAAAATTCAGGGCGTGAAAGTTGTCCGTAAAGACGGGAAGGCATTTAACGGCATATTATGTCATCATGATATGATTCTTTCTCGAACCTCAGTTTTCGTGCGGCAGTAATGAGGTGAGTTTGTAGCGACATTAGATCTCAAATTCATTATCAGTATCTTGATTGGGATCAATTGATTAGGAAATGCAAGATTTTTAAATATTTTCCACTAATACTTTTCAGTACCGGTGCGTCGAAGGTTTAATCTGCAATGAAGAAATGAAGAATAGCACCTTGAGTGCCGATAACCTCATTTACCAATGGGAAAAAGTGTATATTATAACAGCAAGAATTTACTCGAGAAGTTTCTGCAACATCTGTCGTCATTGTGATCATGCCCAAAGATTGCCAACATGTGATTGGATAGAGGTTAGGCTTCTGTGGCGCTTTGCTGTGCCTCTAAAAAGCACATGACTCACTTCGCATTTCGTCATTAAAGTTTTACTTTGAGCCTCTTCAGCTGAGAAATTGGTTCCATTTGCCGACTTCGTATTTGCCGGGATGCTGCAAGAGCAAATATGGCCTCACTTCATTACTGACGGCTTAGAAGTGAAGACAGACTCTAGACTCATTAGTGATGTCGAAAAGAAGCATTGGTCAGAACCATCTATGACTTTCAAGAGGATTTAAGAAAACAACTCAATTTAACAGTCCACAGAGCACCATGGACCCAGTTACCCCTAGCCGTAAAGATCATTATCGTCTACTTGAATGAAAGCTAGGAAAATCCAGCCAACGGTAACCCTGGTGAAAATTGACCCCAATAGAGATATCAAATATCAAAATATAAGGATTAGAAATGTCAAATACTGAGATCATTTCTGATCTCAATACTTGATATACCTAATTTTTAGTTCTTTCACAGCACGGGAAAAAAGGTTTTATTTCTACTCGTATTTTTGTGAAGCTCCCTTATCTCCCATCAGATCAATTAGATGAAATTTCGATTTCATATAATCTCGTGAGCCACACCATCCTTACCCCCTATTGACAGCTCTATGCTGAGGCTTAGTTTTCAGTTTCTCTCTCAAGGCTTTATCTTCAGGAAATGGGCGGCTATTCGACTCAGCCGAAATTATTCGGCTTTGAGGGATTTATCTAAAATTTCAATTTCATTTCCTTTTCTTGTCCTGACAGATTGGAGGGCTCGAGGGATTCTACCTGTTCCAGAAGCATTCTATTCGTAAGAGATCCGCCGATCCAAACGCCGAACACCATACATACCTCTCTTTAGAACCCGAGGTGAGTGCCCCTCTCACTTTTTTTCTACCGACCCACATTTGTTTCTCGGGTTGGGAAAGAGAGATGGGGATATCGTGACGAGACAAGTGTTGAACCGCGGGAAAATTACGTAAAACTCTCTCCCACTTTTTTTTAAAGATCCGTTTATACGTTGGTACAGAGTGTGATATCATTATGCTGCAAACGGATTGAGACTGAATAATATTACGTAAGAATCTCAGGTTCTTGTGGATTTGAATTATGTATGGTGAGAACCGGTTGAAAAATCTGGACTTGTTCAAGACTCGCCTCCGCCTCAAACCCGTGTTCGACCAAACTGTCAGATTTTCATTAAAATTATTTTTAAATCAGGGGTAGATCCATGACCTACAGAAGTTCTTGCCGCAACCAGCATCATTTGTCTTCGTTCCGAATCTCCCTTTGTGGTCCGTGCTCAAATAAAAGAAACTCGGATTTGGGATCAGGGTCATCTTAGCAGTGCTCATGACAAATGAGAAATGGTTTGTGTGCACTGATCCTGAGCCGCGACCTCGTGATTTGGAATCCATATCTCGACCCCGTGACGTGATATGGGATCCATATCGCGAGGGTTTCAGGGGAGAAGGAAGGAAAAGGTCAGAAGTCTACAGACTCATGAAAGGGAAAAAGAATGAACGGTACTGGGGATGTTCTATTCTCAGAACGCGACACCATTACTTCTCGCCGTTAATGCACGGAACAGGATACTTTCAACTAATTTAGATCCTCAACATCTCCATGTATTAAAGTTACCTCTCTCTACCTCTAAATGTATCAAGTTATCATCCCCTGTGCATCAATTCAGACTCTTCATATTCGAATATCTTAGTACCGATGGTTCCACTTCCTGCAGTACCTGTGCTAGTACCAGGATGTACATCGAGAAGTGAATAGATCCGGATGTATGTTCAGGGTGGGCGACGGAATATTCAAAGACGAATGATCCCAGACTGAAAAACCCCGACATAATAACCCACCAGCAAAAAGTATTGGGACGGACATTTTATCGGTGGAATAATCCTTCGAGTGGAATATTAGCATGGAATATTTTGTGCGTGTGTGAAGGAAAGCCCAGTATTTAGAGTCTGAGTTTTTTTTGTGCATGCCATTATGTCTTCCCAGCAGAGGAAAGAAGTTTCTCTGTTGTACGCTGTTTTCGCTGCATAATGTAATACTTGGAAATTGAGTGCAACTGCCTGTCATGACAAGGGCCACCGTTATTCATCATGATTATCCCGAAATATGCACAAAATGGTAGAATATGCACGAAGTATGCAATGTGCACTTTGCATCGAAGGTGTTGTTGTAACAAGTATTTAAGCAGACCATGACCACTGGCCTTTATCTTTAGCCCTTTTACTCAAACCAGTTTGCAGCAACAAGCACAAGCCATTTTGTACATGGCGTAGATCCCCGATTCCAGCTGACTTAGAGGAAGAGGAAAGAATATGGCTCTAAGGCTGCCAGATGATTGCACCCACAGTTTAAGTCCATCTTATAACCACACCATGACAAATCCACACTCCATTGGCTGGAGAGTGCTCAAACTCATGCTGCTACCAGGCATCCAGAACTGTGCAGGTGGATATGACTATGCCTTTTTCTGTAAATGCTTATATGGAAATATCCTTAACACGTTGGCGACAATGCGTCCTGATGCCAGGATGCAGATTTTTTTTTCAATGAATACCCTCTGTAACTGTTGAGAACGTTCCAGAAGATTATGATTTCGTA